TTTTTTTTTTTTTTTTTTTTTTTTAGCATAATCACTAACTTATTTCCACGAAGTCACTGATAAAACCACATCTGCACTATGGGGCTACACTGCTTTTTATTATACCAAATGATTGGTTCCAAAGAGTAACAGCTAAAGGTATACAGAAACTGGACATGAATGGCCCACAGTTAACTGAGGGTAAAGCCCCATGTAGTTTTATAAAGATTTAGCTAAAGTTGGTAAATGAAACAGTCTAAGATTTGCATGCAACCAAAATACAGTGATAGATATTTCAGCACTTGCTGCCATTTCTGATCATCATCCCTTTTCTATGCCTCCTTTGACTGCATGCATTCCTTTTTTTTTTTTTTTTCCCCCAGAAAATACAGCTTTTCAAATATAAGCATAAGTAATGGTAATACAACAACAGTAACAACAGCCTTCTGAACTCAGCTGGAGATAGATGAAGGCTGCTTCTTCCTCGCCAGCAGCATTGTGCTGATCGTGTCCTTCTGCAGGGCAACTGCTCTCAGCTTCTGCTAAACTGTGCTCAATATGGAATGTGGAAGAGATGAAACTATGGGTGCTGGGAGAAGAGTCTAGACATGAGAAATAGCGTAGTTGATATTCTGGTGGGGAGGGAGATAAGAAAGGAAAATGAAGTAATTAATTCATAATTTACAAACATACACATTACTTGGCCTGTGAAAGTTTAATGATCTCTGTTTTTTGGTCTTCTTCCACATGCTCTCTCTGCTGTCTAGGCTTTCCCATGTCTCAAATGACCAAAACACTTTGACGCTTCCTGAACTGCTCTCCCAGTGAAGGACAGGATAAGGCAGGACAGGAGAGGATGCAGCAGAGGGCCTACTGTGTTCTGTACTTTGTTCTTGAAATGACCAGAGTAACCTCCCTCCCTCAAAGCACCTACTGTGAATGTCTGCAGTCCATGACAGGGTTCCAAGGCCTGGAAAGATACCTGAGTCAGCAGAGCATGCCCACCTGGAGTCTATAATATCAGCAGGCACATCAGCTTAATGCTCAAAAGAATAGTAGGAATGCATTTCTCCAGCCATGAGAAAGTGCATTACATCTATGCAGTTTGCCCCTACGTTCTCCAAACAGTCATGTAAAACCAGCCCGTATTTCCCTCTTACGGTGGGGTGAATATAATTGTCTCTGAAAAAATTCTGCATCTGAAAGAAGATGTTAATTTGCAGGAATGATTAATAGTTCTGCTGACTGCTAAAAATCCAGTTAGAGCAGTTAGGGTATGATGGCTTTACAGGAGCGGGATAAAGTTTATTTGATTTTCTGTAACTGAGTGTCCTCAGCTGAACCTACCAACCCTTTGCTGTGCAAGGATTGTAACTCCCACTGCAGTTGGCTCAGCCTCCATTTCTATTTTTAGTGCAGATCTTGCTCCTTTTTTAGACCTGATTGCACAGCCAGAACTGCGTTCTCAGCAGCTCAGTGAAAAGCCTGCCTGTTCCATTTTATAACTTTTCCAGACAAAAAGATGGGAAGCCTGCAGCTTTCCAAACACTCTTATTTTTAAGAGCTTGCAATACGATACAGCCCAAAACCCAAGGGCTGAATGAATCCCTGCTGAAATACTATTGAATTTTCTGGGGTTTTATTCAGCATTAATTTGGCTGCTAATAAGATACTTGGGATATTAAAACATTAAAAAAACAAATAACCTCCCCCCCCCCCCCCCACACACACACACAAACAACAACAAAAAGCAAAAAACAAAAAACCCTTCTTCACTGTAAGTACTTAAAAAGATATTTATCAAAAAGGTAATAATGTACATCTGGATCAAATCCTCCAGACAACATATCTTCTTTAGATTCATAGTTTATAAATCCAATTGATGGAAGCAACTACTAGCCAAGAAAGAAAGAAACAAGGAAAAATGGAAAACACTGAGTTTGAGGATTCTCTAAGCAGGAACAACCACACAGAAGCAATTTTCTGGCACTCAATTAAACCACTCAATTAACATTTTTGAGCAAAGTTTCCCACTGCAGCTAGAACAGAGTTGCTGTAGTTCTGTCCGCGTTAGCGACAGCGCTTCACCTCTGCTTAAAGTGTTTGCTTCTGCAATATCTTCTTAGTGATGTATACTGAGGAAGTTATATTTCAAAGTGTTGTACATATTAAAAAAAAAAAACAAGATTAAGATGATTACAGCCGTTGTTAGGCTGTAAACACACAACCTACATTGCTAATACAAGTAAAACACATCCTTATATACATGTACTGAAATATGTTGCCAATAGTGTGATAACAGTTTGCATCTTACTACACACCTAAATCAAGCATACCTGCAAATATCATTTTATTCTTAACCCAAAGTATAATAAATATCCTCATATGCACAGGTCTCTTCTTAGAAGAAATCTTAAACCCTTCCCTCCCGCAACAAATCTCTAAGGAATTGTTATGCTACTCAGGCAGTAATCAGTGAATTCAGCCATCTTTATTGGACACATAATGACATCCAACACCCCTCTTGCAATGGGGGAGACTGACTGCAGATGGAGATTTCCCTCAGCTTCCCCTGCATTCAGGCAGTTCACTAGTTCTTTTATGTCCCACTGAGAACACAAAGGCAGATTCAAAAGAAAATTAACTGGAAGAGTAAAGGAATTAAAATCAGTGAAGGAATTGATAGACTAACATATTCTTATTGTAAATTCAGGAATTTAATTAGCCCCCGGTCAAACACTGAACAAATCAAAGCCAATAACAAACGGAAAGACCATTAAAAGTAGATATTCAGCAGATCTGAATTTACATATTTTGTGTGCCTCAAACACCCAATTCATTCTGTGAAAACAGAGGGTGTCCCAAACATATGAAGTCAGGTTCATTATCTCGATTTAAATAACACAAAGCTCGAAAGAGAGAAGCTGAGTGCCACAGGAAGTAAGTACTCAAGATCACTATCTCAAAGGCACAAGGTTAAAAACTGAAAGGACTGGAAGTTATCAACCGAAAATAAAAAATACCCAAGTACTTGAAAGCCTGTTTATCCTAGCTGGCATCAGGAATATTGTACCCTTGTACCCTAAATAGAGACTGTGGAAATCTGCCTAATGAGGGTATGCACTGTCTTGGCTGTGGTTTTCAGCACTACATGCAGAGCTGAAACTCTAACAAATTTAGGAGAAAAAAAAAAAAAAGGGAAAAAATATACTGTCACTGCTAAATGTCAAAGCTAAAACCAGGCCAATGGAGTCACAACTGTAGTGCAAAATGTATCAATTTTCCTCCAATTTATATTCTGGACATAGTTTTTAATAATAAAAATGGCTGCTGAATCCACTTGGAAGTAAATCTTGTCAAAGACTGTATTGCTTTGTTTGTAATTCAATGCTACGAAGTGGACCCTAACAAATGATTTGTGTCTGATGAGCAACTATTTCTGTATTTTGTTCGGAATGACCACGTCTGTGTTTTGAGTTAGGAAATGTGCACAACATTAAAATGAAATTATTCAAATGCCATTTTACCTCAAAATGAAGTAGGTCACTTTGAAGTCAGCTTTGATGGCCAGTTCTGTTGCTCCTTTTGTTGTTGTTGTTGTTTTTTGTTGGTGTTTTAAGAGCATCAGCCTGTTCCCTCAGCACCACTTAATCACTGGTAACTTTCATGGAGAGCAAACAAAAGGCTCTTTTATTTATCCATTATGTTACTAAGAGGTGAGAACAGCTTGATGCAAATGAAAATCATTAAAGCATTCTGTGCTACCATTAACTGTCTGAATATCTGCCTATGCAAATACAGCACACAACCCAGTGAAACTGCAGCCTCATGACCTACCGCATTGAAAATCTATGCCTTATGACTCTTTTAACCCAACAGTTAAAATACTCCGTGTGATGTGCCTCTGTAAGCACTTAGTTTGGATGAGCATGGAAACGGAGTGTAAGCCATTACACAGAAATATTCTCCATTTCAGAAACCCCTTCACCGTGACTGGCCAAGGGTAACATCAGAGCTATCTGATTCATTACAGTGCTGCAGTATGGAGCTAAAATGTGATTGCCCAGATGTGAACCTGCATGCAATTACACCCAGAACTTCACTTAAGTAAGCAGTCCCATTTAAGACAACATGAACATATCATAATGCAAAACCACGAACGGTCTGCAGGATTAGAGGCCTAATTAGATATAAAATCTACTGACTTCCTTCTTTAGAACTCTGTCCTTTGCATAGCCACTTATCCCCATGCAACTGAGCACAGAACAGCGCTCTCACTAAGTAGCACCCTACCCAACAATAAAGATGAGTAAGTGTATGAAGCTGGAGAGCTCAGCTGAAGTAGTACCTAGCAACCAGAGTGCGTGAGAACCTTCGTATTCCTAAGAATTCTAACCAAAGACATACATATGGCAGTTTAGAAAGCACCTTAGAGGAGGCCACTTTTTGCTGCTCTCCTTGGTAAAATTCAGGTTAGCCATGAGGCAACAATTTACTTCAAATGTCTGAGAGCTTTTCTAGACTAAGTTTTGGCAGAAGTAAGGGATATCTCACCCTCCTTTGGGACACATACCTTTGTTACCTACTCTTACACCACAGAACAGAGGTTAGGACAATGTGTTATTCAACAGCAGCTGGAAAGGAAATGGTTGATTGGATTCTGTGCCATTACTGCTTGAAGGACTTAAATCAGCCTCTCCTGTTTGGTAGGAGAGTACTCCCATCAGCAGAGGCCTGTGTACGAAGCATCTCTGACATCCAACTTGAGATTTTGACAATCTGTGCTGGGGAATGGAAGACACCCAGGCCAGAAAGAATAAGGATACTTTAGTCTCCCAGGCTGCTTATGTATTTTCATTAAGCAGTAATTATACAGCTTGAATGCACAGTACTGAGTGCAGGGACTAAGGACTCCTAGGCAAATGCTCTTATTACTTATTTATTTGGATATCATGTTAATATCAAATTAATGTATTTGAGGCACTTAGAAAAGAAAGAAATTCAGTGGGACTGAAGACCCCCCTAGAAGTCTTCTTCTGAGCTTGGCACAGTGGAACACTTAAAATACTTTGAGTCACTGCTGCTTCACCTGTCCTGTTTAATAGAGTGGTACCATGGAATAAACTGAACATCAGACTGCTCATCACCCGCACTGCCAAGCTGGTAGCATGCTGCGTGGCAGCTTTGGCCCATAACAACCATCTGGAGTGATGCTCCCAAGCAGCTCAGGGGACAGCACTTGGACACAGCGAGACTCAGCCAACTCTCCGGCCTTCATTACTTCATAATATTGCATAAATGTAATGTATGGTAAGGAACATTATGAAGAACCCAATAAGAAAATTATAAATTCTTCTGTCACAGTATAATTAATGCCAAGTAATTTGGATTTTTATTTTACCTCTAAAGTAACAACGTTCCCATTTTATTGATGACTGAATTAAAATTAGCTAGAAATACTTTGTTTTTATTAAGACATAGATAAAAGATAAAGCTACTCTGAAGGAGCTTGAAAAATATAAACACTACTAATTTCTTTTGTTTAAAATAACCAATTTTTGCATTACTGCAAGCAAAAAGCAATTTTGTACCTGCTAGGTACAAAGAAGAAATTAGGGAACTGACTAGTGATCTAATGCTGGAGCAATGGAGACAAACTCAGGTTACTGGCAGTGAAATCTTCATCATAAAACTGGTTTACAAAGTTGCAGCAAGAACATGCAGTCTTTCAACAGTTGTTTGGGTTTTATTTTGCCAACAAGAAGTGAATGAAGGTGAAGGTTTTGGGGTAAGAAATCCAATTTCCTTCTCTAAACAAGCAGATTAAAAAAAAAAAAAAACAACACAACATCCTTATTCACTGCAGTAGAAAAGTACAGTCTGTTTTCTAATAGATAGTAACCATAACTGCTATCTTCACACAATGAAGAAAAACCATCAAGAGCTGCAAGAAAGATATTATCTAACCAAAGACGTATGCACTTTTCTCAGAGCACAAGAGGTCTGGGCACTGGCAGTTCTTGTTCACCTAATGCCTTATTTCAGAATGATACAGTTTTGCAGACTAGACCTCGATTACATTTGATTTACTGACTGATTCTCTTCTGCTTCCTTTTAAAGATAAAGAATGTGTTTAAAGCAGAGCGTGAGAATGCGATCACTTCTTGGAAGGCTGTTCCCTCTCTGAACAATCTGAGACATTTTCACAGTTATTTTTACAGTATAACCATTTCCTATTTTCCCCGTGTTAATAGTTTCAATCTACGATCACTTTCTTTTACAAAAAGCACGGTCCTAGTGAGAACACATCACTTAAGTATTAGAATGATACAAAAGCCTATATTCTGTCCTGAGAAAAACGGCTACTCAAAATACTATCTCCACAAAATATCTTTTAAAGTAGCATACGAAAAGGAAGAAAAGGTGCTGTGGGCAGGGAGACTGAAGAAGACACTGTGTTTGTATTTTATGGATTTGGGGGCTCGTGTTGTTTGATATTATTAGCCAAGCCATCAAGTTACCACTTTTGAAAGAAAATAGCTATCACTGAATTTCTAACTAACGCAGCTGCAAGACTACTCAAGAGACACCACATTACAGCAGAATCAAGTCGCAGTCATTTAACTGCACAGCTTCCAGAGTAAAAGTACCTGATTTCTGTACCTGACTAGAAATTCATAACCACCACACAAGATTTTCCCCCTAGAAACTGGAAACAGAATTATGGTGTCTCTCCTTCCTAACTACCACTTACATATCACATCAGAATAACAGGTAACACTTTATAAATTTGTGTTCCACCTAACTTTGTATCTCCAACTGTATCTATCTCATGCTTTAAGATATACAATGATCAATATACTGGTAAGAAAATATATTTTATTTGCAAGTCTCCAAAATTGTTGAGGTAGATCTGTGTGCTGATTAGGCTTGTACTTATAGCGTCAGCCTTTATTAGACATTACTGTAATTGGTGGTCCACATTAATAATTATATTTTTATACATCAAGCACACACAGTTGTATTGATATAGGGAATATATATTTAGGAAGACCATATTCTGCATGAACTTCAGCTCTAGTAATATCTTTCTGGGATCACCTTTTGTAGCAGAAATGCTAAGTCATGGCATGAAACAGTGAGCACCTGGTGGAAGGCAGGGCCAACCCAGGGGAGCTCAGGTGTATGCAGTGCACCTGAGTGACTGGAAGGGGTGGAGCCAGGATCCACCCCTTCCCAGACCTCATTTAAGGGTTGGCAGTGAAGATGAGGGCAGCTTGCTGGAGAGCTCTGCATCCCTGATGTCTTCAGAAGGTAAGCAGCTTCTTTCCTCTATTTCTGTGCCCATGGCTGTTGCAGTTGAGCAAACTCCCTTGCTGCAGCCTAGGACCACACTACTTTGCTGTTGTTGTTATGCTTTTCATTCTGTTATACCTTTACACCACTCTGTTTGCATTGCCTTTTTCCCAGATGTGCCACCTGCCTACCAGTGTCTAAAAACACTTACAGTATTATTAATTAGCAGCTAGTGTTTGCATCTTCAAATGGAAATGAGCTTTGATTTTTTAGAAAGAGTTAGGAAGTGCAACTGTGTTAACTGATGAATGTCACATCAAAATAAAACACTAATAATTGCTGGCTAAATATTAAATCTCTAGCAAATAGTTCTATGGCATTCTGTAGCTTTCTGCATCTTAAGAGGATGCATTTAAATGTATCTACACCATTCATTTATCCCACTCCTGATTATTTATGCCCATTAAGATCTGCACTAGAGGAAGAAAACCCCTGAAAAAAACCATCAGTGCTGAGAAAAAGAACAGCACTAAGAAGTATTAAGTGAATGCTGTTTAAACTAGGCTTCAGTAGTCATGAAAATCATTTAGTTGTGACCATATATTAGAACGCTACCTTTAAAACTTCAAGCTATGCTAGACTTAACCTTAGGATAAGCATGTCTGAAAAATCTTAGCCATAAAGACCAGCAGACTCCTAGGCAGTGTCTAGTTTACAAGAAAAACAGCACCCTTCCCAATAGCCATAACAAAATAGAAGGTGTGAAGGAAGTCTTTAGGTGTTAGGTATTCCAATTTCAGGAAAGCATCTGTTACTCTTGTGAAATTCCCAAGTCACTCAGAATGCACTGGATGGATTATGCTGAGTGAGAGATGATTAGACAAATAAGGACTGTGTAAAAACTCTGAAGCTTAAGGAAAACGGTGAATACTGTAGGGCTCAAGATAAATCTGAAAACTGATAGCAAATAAAAGACTTATGTGAAAAAGGACATGCAACAATGTATCTCTGTGTGTGTAGTGGCAAAGGAACTGTTATGAGGTGCTGTTTTCTTTGACATCTTCATTAATCTTTGAGAGGCCATGATGTGGACGATTGCAAGGATATGGAGGTATATCAAAGTAATTATAAGGGCTATAATTCAGTCAGAAAACAGCAAGATGAAGATCAGTACAGGAGAAAAAAGCAAGCTACTGCTGTGGAAAATACTGAGGGAAATATTCTGGAACATACTCAATGGGATGGAAATAACCCTAGGGCATAATATTTGTTGAGAATCTAAGGATAACAAGTAAGCAGAAACTGCAAATAAATCTGTAACAGAATACCAACAAAAAGACTAATTTAGATTTGACTTGCATACTTGGAAGTACTGTATCCTAGAGCAGGAAGGTAACGGTTTCTCCCATGTAGCTTTAGGGCAGATTGCAGAACGTTTTCTCTGTGAACGATCAGCTAAGCCACTCGAGCCTCTTAGCGTACCAAATGTTAACGTCATCTGGCAATTCATTCTGTCTTACACACAGAGGTCATATGGGTACCTGAAACATCGTAAATGGCTCTACCTAGACAATAAATCATAAATTCTTCATCTGTGCTCTTTGTAACTACACCTGGAATTCACCAATGAGTCCCAGGCATATTACTAAAATGATCTCTGCAAATTGGATGGAATTCACATAAAAATAACAGAAATCCTTTGGGGGCTGGAAAGACTCAAAAGAAAATGTTGCAAACATAAGCAAGTGTAGCTTAAGGTAAGCAAATGAGAAGTTCAAAATCTTTCTTAACTTTCATCTTGTTCTGGAAAATTCTTCAAAAGGAAGAAACCAAGAAGGGGGGGGTGGAAGGGGAAAGAGGTGATTAAAAAGGAAGACAGACAATACAGGAAATCTTAAACTGTGTTCTGAACTACAGGTAGTTGACTTAATGGGGGGAGGGGGAATAGTTGGTGTCTGGAACAGCAGCATAAAGTATGCATTCATATATTACAGAAACCAATACTGACAGAGATGGAGAAAGCATTTAATAGGCCTCTGCCATCTTTAATTTAATCTCAAAGCACTTTAAGTTTACTCTGCTGGTGACTCTCCTATCTCTTCCTGGATAACAGATGGCTGTTTGTGATCAACATACCAGACAGAAGCTTCTTTCACTTTAATGCATGAATGGGGAATGCTGCTTGTAAGTCAGACTATGTGGCAGAACAGGTGATTTTGCCACTTACCATCTAGCCCCATTTTTGTGATTCATTCATAAAAACACATTTCACATTTTGAAACAAGGAAAGTTCAAATAATGACCACATGTGTACATACAGTTGGCTGCATAAATTATTATGAGACTGATAGGACATTCTGCAGTTACACTACTTGGAAACCTTACATTATGGAATCTTTTAAATTACTTATTTGAATCATTTGGGTGAACTGTTTGCATCAGATAATGTGTTGTGTTTTGTTTTTTTTTTTTTTTCCAGTGGAGAGTTTCAGCTAAATGGTTTGGCTACCTATCAGAACAAGAATATGAAAAATTTTTTGCTGATTTAAAAACAGTTCTTACAGCCGTTTACCTCAGCTCCATTATATGGAATAGAAATTTCAGAGTTTGGTAGGATGATGTATGTGTACATAGAAACAATACATTTTTTTTGTAAACCCCACCAAGTTGCACATAATTTCTCTTGGGAAGAGATAATGTATGTAAGATGTAAAAATAAAAGCAATTATTTTCATAACAAAAGCTATTCAAATGCTCAACCACTTTTGCCTTCCTACTGCATAACTTGCCAGCAACTCTGACAGACATACCATTCACACAAACACTATTAATGTTTAAATGTTAGATGTCATTTACACATAGTTTTATCTTTTATGGCCATATCCAACTCTTACAGGCATCTAGTTTTTTAATAGCTTTGATTCAGCAACACTGCTCACACAACGGCTCTAGCAATACTCCTTGATTATCTAAGACTTAATTAGATCATCTTAATTAAATTTCAACTACTAACTTCTTTTTGTCATACATCCAGCCACTAAACTTCACTTGCTACTACACTGTTAGCTGCTCTCTAACAATGTGATACACTAAACTCATTACAGAACCATATAAATATTGTTCTTGACAACATGCTGCTCTCTTAACATAGGAGGAAAGCCCAACCCCTTTTTGACATACAGAATTCCATTAGCAGAGAGTAGATCAATACTTCATCTCTGGATACAACATAATGCATTTACTGTCAGTTTTCTTGTATTATGTATATGCTGTTAATTAGTATGATTTTTAAATAAAAGTAGTATAGTTCTGCTTTGTTACATACGTGAAAATCTTTATTCATTTTTACATTTCAGATGATATCATTTCCTTGAGTACTTATGTGTTCTCTTGTACACACATTCACTGGTAGGTTCTTCTGATGTTAGGCCAAGGTAAAACCTGAAAATGCTGGGGGGGAAAAAAGAGTTGTGGTCAAATAACTTCCAATTAAAACTTCTGTTTGAAATGTACATTGCTAAAAACAAATGCAACCCAGGAAACAAAATGGTTTAAAAGTAGTTTTGCATCTTCATATAAGCATTATGTATAAGAATTTGTATATGTAACTTATTTGCGCACACATGGAATGTGGCAGTATAACCTGCTGCAGTGCATTTCATACAGCTAAGGTTTTCTGAAATGAAAACATGGCATAGAATGTGTTTTGTGCAATGATGATGAAAGCTCTTTCTCCTAATGGCTAAATCATCTGTATCAATTAGAGGAACCCATAATTGAAATGTTCAGTGAACTACATGCAATTCTTCTAAAATTTTGATCATCAGATTCAGTCATGTGATAAACAGCAAAGAACATCACAGAACCTCCTTTGGTAATCTAATCAACTTCTATAATAAAACTTGTTACAAAGCTCTGCTCTCCTACTTCCACACAGAGAAGAAACTCTCTCCTCTATTGGTGAGAAATCCTACATGTCCAGTTAATCTCCAGCTTAAATTCATTATGACCAGTTTGTAGCTAATTGTTCTATATCAGTACTGTTCTTTTGCTTAAATATTTTTCCTTCCTGCTTATGCCAAAGTTAGTGATACACTTACAAACTTCACTTATGTTCTCTTTCATTGTCTGTTTTCCTAGATGGAGTCAAATGAATCTTATATTCTCTTGATGACTTAAAAAAAAAAAAATTAGCCCAAATAAGCTAGGACCTTGATCCTAGGACCTAAGATCTTGTACAATCACACTGATGTATCACTTGCTTTCATGGAAATAACCTCATGCATTTTAGGCCTCGCTTCCAGAACTTTTCTTCTGCCACTTCTGGTTAAGGAGTTTCTAGTTCAGAGCGGAAGATTCTTAGCTACTTTCAAGTTCAAAACCTTGCACTTGATATGCAAGACAAGATATTATAACACTTCTATTTAAATGCAAGCCAGACAACTCTTCCTATGTGTATCTGTTTTCCAAAATTAAGGTTATCGCCATTCTTATTTATGCACTAAATAAAACACTCCTATAGCTGTTAAATGGCAGATTTTGCTTATAGACAGCTTCTAGTTTTATAGCCCTCCTTTCCCATTAGAAATTCTTTATGCACCCAACTTAATTTCTCATATGGCACTAAACTGAATCTTTTTCTTGGAGCGCAAATTAACCCTAATTCATTTCCTTTGTCAGTAAAATAAATTATATTGAAAGGAAAAATAAATGAACAGAACCCAAAACAATCCTTCCCACAAATATACCTTTAATACAGGAAAGAATTTTCTTTCATGTTCTTTTTTATTCTGTGTTTTATTTTTTTTCCTAGGTCCCACATACTGCAATGGTTGTCCATAATGCTTTCTTGGGTTCTCTTTCAAATATCTTTAACTTCCAATCATGTGGCACCATTCTTGCTCTGACAGGTTTACTAAGGATCATTGCTAAAAGACTGCTTTAATACTTTCCAAGTATTTTCACACTTGAGACAAGGCCAGTTTTCTCATCAGTTTTCTAGTGGCAAAATGTTGGTGTAAGACCATTAATTAAATGTGTTATCGCTCTGGTTTTGACAGAACCCAACTGCATTACACATCAGAGCCAACTGCCTAGCCTGTATCTATTCACTAAGAATTATTTTTTTTTTGTTAAGAGCTCTCATGAATTAGAATCTTAAGCACTACTTCCAAAGCATGGTTACGTCTACAAATGAATTCTGCAACCTGAGTGGCTCTTTAAGCCAGTCTGGTAGCCTGGGAGTTGCTCAGCTTCTTGCTTTTCTCTTTTTGCTTACATTTTTGTCTGCTGACAGCCATGTAGCACTTGACTTTCCAGTGGTATGTAGTACAGTAGGCATGCACAACGCTGCCTCAAATCATAGCAAGAGTAGGTCTAACTACTGAGAGTGTAAGAAACGTTCCTCAGGACTCTCACATAAAGAATTTTCTTGTGTGCTTGCCTATGATGACCATGCCAATAAAAACAGACCTCAGGAATACCGAATGCCCTGGAAATCGGCAGGAACTCAAACGTGGATACACAAGTCAATTATGAAGTTAGGATGTATTGTACAAAATGTTACTTTCTGTACTATAGTCTAATCTTCTACCCAAGTTCTTTTGCATTTTGCTATTATAATCAGACACTTGCAAAAGATGGCTTTTCCCTGACCTAGTTAGTTCTGTCTGCTCGCAGTTATATATTTTTGGGGAATTGCAAATAACATTTTTGAACAATTTTTCTAAGTAGGCATACGGTATGAAGTAAGAGAAAGAAGAGACTGAAACATCTTTTGTTAAGAAAAGCAAACCTGTACTGATTTTACTCTACGTGGACACTGTAACTTTAAAGAAAATAATGAGTTTTGATGATAACTAATATTACTAATACTCATTTTTTACTGTACAGTTGTTTAACTGCATGATTAGAAGCAGTTATATATATGCAAGCTTGATTATTTTCATGTAAATACGTGGCTGGCTAATGGGGAGTTGCTGCTTAGCAACTGGAGCAGAGAAAGGGGTGCTTGCTTTAGAACAGGAAACTGAATAAAACCTTGCAGAGTACACACAGCGTTTGAAGATACCATAGAAAATGGGTGGCAGTGCTCTGCAACCATGATGCTTCCTTTTGTAATTACTCACATCCTAGGATGTCAGCATTTTCAGGTAGTAGAGGATAAACTCCATCAAAAATCATTTATAATGATAATATAATCATAATAAATGATAACAATAATAATAAATGATCATAATAAATGATAATGATAATCATTTATAATTAATAGATGTGCACAACGTGAACAAACAACAAATAAGGTAAGTACTAAGGACAAACCCTGACACGCAAGCTAAAACATAGGAAAATCCAGAAACAGACTTTGTTTCTGCTCTCTACTGTAATGGTTAAATTGACAATGCTATCGATGCTCCTCAGACCTCAGTGCCTTAAACTAGTGATCAACTTATGCTACCATAAGCCAATACTGCTGGAAGAAGCCTTCTTTTTTGCTCCCTGTTACTTAAACTCAGCCCCTGCTCTGTCTTCTCCACTGTGCAAGCACAGGCATTTCTACATTCATAATGAGGCAGATGATAGACCTGATCTAGGTTAAAACCAAGCCAACACTTTTAGTTGGATCACCTTTACCTGGATCAGCATCTGAATTGAGTTTATTATGCAGTCACTCCACTACTAGGAGAAGGAAGGAGGGGACCTGTCCTGACAGTGCTGGCTCAAACCTTTTGTGAAAATACCTCCTCATCCTGGTGTGACCGCACATCCTTTGTGTGACTGCAAGAAGAATATGAAAGCAGAAGTGTGCTCTATGAAATGAAGAGAAACTGAAAAAGCGTATCTCAGAGGAAGTACCAAAGAGATGTCTTCATGACTGAGACTACTACTTGGATCACACTATTTGTATCAAGAAGGAAAGTCCCTTAGTTTTTTCCTGAGGTCTCTTACAACATTTTCAGGAATTGAAAGATCATATGGACAGGAATCTGGCTGCAGTTTAGGTATTAGTGTTGTCTCAGTTCTGTCATCTTCCTTTTTCAACAGTTCCTCTTAATTCAAAACATAGCCCTCCCTGATTTAACAAACAAAAATGTTTAGTTGTAATAGAAGAGCGAATTACGTGCTTTAGTGACTCCTGGCTCGTGCTTCTAAAAAGTGATTCCTGATATCTACGCTATGCTATTGTGGGAAACCGCTTCCGCTTCAGCAGAGCTGACAGACGTGAACTTGTGCCTGCACATCAAGCACAATGCTTGTTTAGAAGAAGCCAGAATATTCAGCAGCGTAAATGCCTTGGGTTATGTACCAGCTCAGCTGAGGTGCAGATACATACTGTGTTCTGTTGCCTGGGTATATATACCAACAGAATATAGCAGTGGATCAGTATCTCACAGAAATGGACTGCTAGTGTTGTAGTATCTTAAGGGGTAACACAGCACATCTGTTGGTGTTGAAAGCCATTAAGCAGTCAGTGAAGTAAGAGTGGTGGGAAGATGCAATACTCAGGAATTCAGACAATCATGTAGACAGAAAGACAAGAGCGTGAAAGGGAGTGGTGCCCATACTGAAGTTCTATGGAAAATCAGGGAAATGCAGCAATTAAGCAACAGTACCAAATGCATTCAAATAGCAAGGGCTGGAAATACTGCTTAGCAACATGTTCCACCCGTGACCTCCTAGTGATTTATTAGTCTTCATGAAAATCAGGCGTTTCTAAAAAGAATATTCTTTAAGTTCCAAAGGGTTTCTAAATACCAGCCTGTCAAAAAAAAAAAAAAAAAAAAAAAAAGTTGTAGCTCAGTTATATTTTCAATGTAACAGTTCGGGTTTTAATCCTACTGCAACTCCTCACTTCTGTGATGCAAGACTTCTTGAAGATGAGGTGATTTGACATTTTTTACTTGTGTTTGCATAAAAGCAAGCTTCAGAAGGAAAAGAGGGGCAGGCCAGGGGAAACAGACAGTGTACAAAGGGAGAGCAGGACAGCAGCTACCCTTGAAGCAGACAGGCAAGCTTCCTGCTCATTACAGTGAAAAAAACGAAGGGTAGCAACTGCCTGGCCTGTCTTTTGTTTAAGTCTAAAACCAAACATATGTAAGGAAAATGTGAAACAGATGTTCCACATATTGGACTTCTGTCATATTTTACAGATTTGTACATTTGTCTCCCCGCCATCCAGCCCTGCACCCATATGTAACATCGTAATTCTGGGTACATCTACCAAGATTCTGCTTTTTTAGAGGCAGTCCTTGCACACAGTCAACTCTTCTGGTATTTTTTCCCCAAAGCCTCAGCTCCGAGACAAAGACACTACAAGAGGGAACACAGCTGGAGGCGTTGGTTACCATTTTAAATCAAAACTCACCCTAATGAGCCGAAAATTATGAAGTGAGTTCTCCTAGCGGCCCAGGGACCAAATAAAGAGCCCTAAATCCCCCCGATTCTCACTCAAAATACAAACGGGGGCTGAGACGCACCTAGCTTCCACAACTCTTTATTTTTTTCCCCATAACTTAACGCCGGTTTCCTAGGCGATTCCCCACTTCTGCTGGGATTCAAGCAGCAAAGCGCCTCACCCCCACCCCCTCAACGAGCCAAGGTCGAACGCTGCGGCGTTCGGGCACGGCACGTCCCGACCTCCCCTCGCGGCGCGGGCCACGGAGCGGAGCGGCAGTTGTGAGGAGAGGGGCGGGTCGCGAGCAGAGCCCGGCCCAGCCTCCGGCCCAGCCTCCGGCCCGGCCCAGCCCCGCCGCTCCGCCGCAGCGCGCCCGGCCCCGCCCCGCCGCAAACCAACCGCCGCCCTGTGCTCGGCCGCCCGCCGGAGGGGGCGCACTGCTGGGCGGGAGCGCGGCCCGGGCGCTGCGGTGCGGCCCCGCGGGCAGCGGTTGGGGAACCTCGCAGCTGCCCTCAGCACTTCCCGGCCGCCCGCCGTGCTTTTATTTTGTATCTCGACGCCGTTAATCCCCGCCGCGTGCCGACTCACCTTCCCGCAGCGAGGCGACTCGGCATCCAAAATGGCGGCCGGCCCGCCTTAACCCAATGGCGGCGCATCGGCGCTCCCCGGTCCGCCCCACCGGCGGCTCGGGCTTCCGCAAGCCTCGCCCCAAGCCCGCCCGGCCGAGCGCCGAGCCGCCGAGCCGCCGAGCCCTCTTCCTGAGGGAGCGGCCGGGGCAGAGCGGCGGGCGGACATTTTCCTCACCCCCCTCCCCTCGTTCCCGGGGCGGGATGCGTGTGCGTGAGCCCCGCGTCCTCCCCCCGCCGCTCCCCGAGTGGTTGCGCCCGTGACATCATCATCATGGCAACAACAGCTGCAGCCCGGAGCCGGGGCGCCGCCGCCGAGGCGTACGCGCTGCTGCGGGGGGAGCAGCCCGCGCTACCCCTCAGGCGCCGGCGACCGGCGGGGCTCTAGAGCCTGACGTTGGGGGGGGCGACCCCGAGCGGGAGCGCGCGGCCCGCGCACGCGCCCGGCGCAGCAGCGGGCGGAGGGGGGGAGCGAGCGGGCGGGCGGGCGAGAGGCGGACAGAAGGAGACGGCGCGCGCCTGTGTGGGGCTGCGCGCGCCGAGGAGGGCCCGCCCCCCCCCCAGGGGGCTGCGCTCGCTCCCTCGCTGCGGCGGGGGGGGCTCCGCGCCTCGCTCAGTGCGCGCCTCGGCGGCGGCGGCCAACACCATGTTCTCAGTGAGGATCGTGACCGCCGACTACTACATGGGCAGCCCGCTGCCCGGCCTGGACCCCTGCCAGTCGCACTTCCGAGAGGCCCCGACCCGGCGGGTGCCCGTCGTCAGAGTGTTCGGTGCCACCCCCGCAGGTAAGGGACCCTAAGGCGCTGGGCCGCGCTTTGTGGCGGGGAGGGGGCGCGGCCCCCTCCCCACCTGCCCGAGCCCGGCCGCAGGTGCGCGGCCCGCGGGGCTTTGTGCGCGGCGCGGCCCGGCCGGAGCTGCCCGAGCGCCGGAGCCGTGCACGCGGCGGGGCCGCGGCGCTCTCTCCCCTCCACCGCCCCCCCCCCCACTCCTCCGCGGGGACGGCCCCAGGGAGCGGCGGCCCCGTGCTGCACTGCGGGGCACGGCCGCGGGTCGGCCCCGGGGGCGCCCTCATGTCACGTTCTCCCCCTTGGCGTGGGGTCCCCGCAGCCCGGGCGGCTCTGACCGTGAGCGCCCTCACGGCCGCGGCGTTCGGGAGCGGGATTCGGTATCGATTCCGGGTGCGCCGTGCTTGAATCGAAGTTTAAAGCGAAGGGCTGTGCTCGTTTGGGGGTTGGACGTGCGAGGGATCGCTGCCGCGTTCCCTTTATGCTCGCGTTGTGTAATGCTGACCTTGGGAATTAAGGTATTTCTCTGTATTTTATTGACGCGTTGGAAATAAAGCGTTGCTCCCATACATCAGGCGTGAGGCGAGACGAAAAAAAAAAAAAAAAAGAGCGTGATAGAACGGCACGGTGTATTTCGTTCCATTATACTGAAAAACATGCTGTTTTACGGTTATTTTGTTTTACATTTACCTGCTCTCAGATCAGAGGAATGTGTGCTACAAAAGCTTCTGTGATCTGGAGCATCTGTGGCTCCAAATCACCAAGTGGATGAGTGGGATTAACAGGCACAGCCCTGGAATAGTGGGACCTTCTTCTATTGTAGCTCTAATTTTGCATACAAAGGAGATATTATGTAATAATATTTATGTAATTGCACGAGTAGCTATTTCATTATTAAAAAATGTAGAGCCCGAGGTTGTCTGGCAGGTATCAGGCTGTGTGTGCGTGTGTGTGGTTAATGCATTGAGGCTCATTTTCCTGAAAGAAAATGTTTGGGCTATGCCGTATCATGAATGTGGCATCCTAAAGTAAACAGCGAGGCAGTTTAGGTGTCTGGCTGTTAGGAGTGCAGCAGGAAACCCTTAGCTTCCCAAACCAACTTTAATATTACTTTGCATAATAGAAGTGTTTCTAATTCATGTTGGTTAGAAAACACGTTTTGCTCTGCTGTGCAGAGGAAGCGTGACTTGGCTATCATCTGCTTAGTTCCTTGTTGAACTTTTTAATGGCTTTTTTTTTCTTTTCTGTATTTGTAACCTTTGTTAATAAGCTTCAGGAGCTTCTCACTGCATCTCAGCCTTATTTTTTCTTCTTTTTTTTTTTTCCCAAACATCATCCTGTCTGCAGAGGTGTTGAAGTAAGCATGTTGTTGTCAGAAGCAGCGTACCTGGTTTCAGAGAGAGGGCAACGCTTTGTTTGAGAGTCAAAAAAAGAAAATATATAATCACTGACATCTATGTTAACGCTTTCTTCAGGATAAAGAAATAGTAAAAACAACTTCTAATATACCCACATATTGGTCTTGTTATGTGTGCTATTGTTTGGCTTACAGACAGTGTGATTCTTGTCTTCGATTCAGTTGGTCTGGCTAGGAAAATCCCTTCTCATTGGGCTTAACTCGTGCACCTTGCCTGCAGGACAGGTGTTCAGTTGCTGCCCTGCTGGTGTAGTAGTGAACCATTGCACCTGTGTAGGCTGCCACACCTCTGGCACAATGAGCTCTGCATGAATCTTGGTGTGCTTAAAACCATGTGGCTGTGCTGCCCAGCTAACTGGGAATCAAGGTCAAACCAGGCTCCAAATTCCACCTACTGAGTGCTTGGAGATGGATTGGTGCGTGCAGATGATTTGTATAGATGTTCACAAAGTTAATGTCTGGCAGTACTGTGCCCAGTGCCAGGCATGGACATTGGTTCTGAGAGCGCTTGCTCTTTCTACCTCTGCTGTGTTCTCAGAGATGTATGAATGAGAATATTAACAATTTTAATGTTTTTATTTTTGACTTTTTTTTTTTTTTTTTCCTTTCTGTAATCCTGTGTTTAAGAATCACTTTGGAATGGTTTGCCAGTATGATCTATGAAATTGAAGTGGTTTGTGGTAATGGTGGCTGGGGGAAGTAAAGAGAGACTTCTGTTTAAAAGTAATGGAGGAATGAACTCTTGGAGTGGACTGTTCTTGCTGTAATGCTTGCCAATTTCTGTAGGTCTTCTGGAGATGGAATTGCATTCTATTCCAGAAGACCCATGCACGTCATCTTTTGGTATCCTACATTTTTGCTTAGTAAGAGCTAAAAAGGCAAGAACTCAAAAAGCTCTTTAAGCAGAATCCATCTGCTATTCTGTTTTCTCACGATGTATGAAGAGTAAAATTCTGGCTACGATAGCAAGTAGTGAAGTAAAACACTGTGAGAAATGCTGTTTGGACTCAGCTGGGTTAAGCCACTTCACTCCATTTTAGCATGTGATTCTTGCAGCAGACTTTCATGTCTGTTAACATAATGAATTGGACGTAAGTAAAATTTCAGAAATGCTGCAACACTGCCATGATGTTAATACAATGAAAGCAGTATTAAATTTGTGCTTTGTTGTATAAGATCATAGGTACTATTTGATGTAGTTGTTTTTGCATTTTGAAAGGAGTCTCATGATCCAGCTATTTGTATTTAAAACCGGTGGGCTTTAATTCACTAGCTAATGCTCAGGTATGAAACAAAATTTCAATTATCTTCTCAGGCAGTATTTCTGGTCTGCTGGCTGGCGGTTGTTGTAAGTGCTTTTTATATTAAAAAAGAAAAAAAAGAAGTTTGAGGAATCGCAAGGTCTATTTGTAACAATTGGAAGTATACTGAAAATTGGATTTTCTGTTTACGTACAGTCTTCTGTTTAATTGGTGATTCCTGATTTGTCATTCCTGTTACTAAAGTGTGGTATCGAGGCTGTGATTTATTCCTTGGCCTTCTCAAGGTCTTGGAGTTTTTCCTCAAGGTTTTACTGGCTGCCTTAATAGCAGCATGCGAGTGCTCAGCTGGGTGTTTCTGTCAGGTGTTGTTCAACTGCTGGAAGACAGAACCAAACTGTAAATCCATCCATAAAGGTATCAGGATAAGAGTACATGTCATGTTATGTAGGATGTTAATAAATGAGCTGCAGTTGCTAAATTAATGACTTTGCTTAACAACACTGTGTACGAGTAGCTGAGGATACTCTAAAACCACATTCAAGATACCTCTTGGTATGTGATAATGGGTATTGTAAAATGTGTAGTCAGAATACTTGAAGTCACAATTCTGATTTGGGGGTGATTTGAGGCTGATATACATGATAAATTTTTACAAAATAGGTGTACAGTTTGAAATTGCCTTAAAGGGTCGTAAGCTTTTAATTGATGAAAGAAAGTTAGGAGAAGTCAGGTTAGAAATTTACCTAGAGAAAGCAATGTGTGGTTTGAGGAATAATATGTCTGCCATCCTCAACTGCAGATATTTGTCTGTTTTTGAAGACTTCTGTATTTTATATCATGAAATTGCTGATCCACAAATGAATCTTTCTTCAGGGCATCACAAAAAGTCACCCACATACAGCTTTTCAGGTGGGCGGCTGAGTTTGGTGGCTTTGCTTTTCCTTGTCTTTCTCAGAGGAAAAAAGCAGAGGCAAATGCTCCAGCTGAGATCTGGCTCCCTTCCAGAGGCAGTAGCTCTGGTATGACTCAGTGAAGGGGCCTGCTTATCTTCCTTTGTTTTTCCCTCCCCTTTCCCCCTTCCCTGACCTGGCAAAGCTGTATATCTGATCCCATCCCAGTGTCTTTCTCTCCTCCCTTGCTGCTCACTTGAGAAGGAATGAGCTCATCATAGGAACTTGCTGCTTTTTGTGCCCAGCTTGTGATTAACCTTTTTCCCTCCCTTCATTCTCACCGCCATTCCAGACACTTTGTCCAGCAATAATCATTCCCCACAGCCTCCTCTGGTCATGATCCCAGTGTTTACAGCTAAGGATCATTCCAGATGCTGCTGCTTTCCATTTTGCAGAAGTGGGCATTTCTCATGACGAAGACTTCCAGGCTCTTCATTTGAGGGTACGAGGATGCAAAATAGGGCACAGCTGCTGTGGCCAAGACTTACCTCTTCATCATTGTCCTCAACATGTACAACTCTTGTTGGGGGTTGCTGTGGATTGCAGCACGGCCTGGAAGATTTTCAGCCTCCAATTTCTGCATCTCATGGTGGCAGGTTTCTCACACCGCTGAAGAGCCATTTGAAAAATAACCTCATGCTGATTCATTTCACTTTTCTCCAGAAGTTTAT